CACAAAAAATACTTAAGTGACAATTTTGTTTAACATTTTCTTTTTGCTTGCAATTATAAACCCTACATTCTAGATTTTTTCTTATATAAATTTAGAGCTATGTTTTTTATTTATGACATACTTTATATTAAACGCCTTATACATTTTTAAATAAAATAAAAAAATATATTTGCCGCCTTCCGAAATGGCGAATTAATCGAGTTATTCCACATACGGGGACAAGCGTTGCGAAAAAGTTATGTACATGACCTTACCAGGCGGCCTTCATCTTTAAAATCCGAAAGCGACTGTTATTCATCGTGCCAGGTCGCCCACCAAAACCCGCTCGTGGGTTTCGAGAGATTGCAGAACAATATAAACAACCGATAAAGGCATATTTTAATTTACTGCAGTAAACTACATCCATAGCGGAGCATACTTTTTTATGCCTGCCAATAAATATATTACACACTTTCTTCTTCGCGATCTGACTCATAAATTCTGAAATAGAGACGAGAGACTCTGTCAAACCGAAAATTCCCATCTGCTCGGATGACGTAACGGTTCGTGGCATGTCTTAGAGGTATTAAGTATCTACCGAAAATATCATCGGCGAGTGAAATTGAAAGCGGTGCATACGGTGCGGTAAAGGTGAATCTACACTGCTGTGCGAGTCATTTTTGTTTTAAGTTTTATTGTCACAAGCGGATGAAACCAATTTTTCATAACTGGGAAAGGATCTTTGCACATAGAAATTTTATAAGAACAGGGTTGTCAAAGTGTTATCTGATTTATTCTAACTATGCACAAAACATCGGAATTTGAAATAATTTGAATTGAGAAAATAATTTTACCTATCAATTATTTAGATTTTCGTTATATATTTTGATATACATTATTTTCTGTAACTTTGCAATGACAATGAGCGCGCTTTCCGACGTCAGTTACGTTTCCCACCGATCCGAGCCACGTCGGACATTTCCGGGATTTTACCGCACGGGTTTGGGAGCAATCGGATGATTTCGGAGATATTTCCCACGCCTTGAATTTGACGTTTGCGGATTCTGACGGCCATGTCAGTGAATGTATTCGTGTTGTTTTGCAAAAATGAACCCAAAAACTAACAGTCGTAGAAAAAGTATAGTATGCAACACGTTCGGTAAACTTTTCAACTCACTCGTTTATTAAAAACTCACTCCGCTGCGCTCCGCTCGTGTCAAATACACTCGTGAGTCAAATGCCCTTTACCGCACTTGTTGCATAATATACTATTATATTTAACGATCCCGTTCAATTTCCTTGAATAACTTGGTGCTCTATAAATATTTTCATGTAAAACTGAGGTAAATTCCTCTAAAATAGTTTTTTTGTTTGCTTCCTATTATTACATTTTCTTACTGAATAATGGAAAAAATCTTAGTGGAGATCCGGAGGACGCAATGGGCACTGAAACTATCAGGCACGTATTGAATTAAAAATATTATGATTAGATAACGAAATATTTAGTAACGAAAATTTTTAAATTACAAACCAAAATACAATTAAACAAAACCAATTAACGCATTATTAAAACTAATATGTATAATTAAAAATAAATTTTATTTTTATTTAAACCAGTGACGGGGTAATAGCGCTTTCACAAAGCACTTCGTAGGATATCAGTTAATCGAAGGAATAACGTTTCGTGGAAGGCCCCCTTTACCGTGCCACGAGATATAAACCTTAAAATATCGGTTCTGTGAGCGAAATCGAAAGCGGTCGGTTTTGCCGGTTCTGTTCTCCACCGAGTAACCCAAATTCGGCTCGACAAATTTTTGTTGTGTCCATAACCACTTTCATTTTCACTTCGATAAGTGACCCACTTAACGCGAGTAATAAAATACCATTAAAAAATTAATCGCATATGCACACGTTATGTCATTTGAATATGCAATTGGCGTGTAGATTGAGAGTAATGAACCACGAGAAATAATGGTCACAGCAAAAAGTTCTTTGCTGCGAGAGATTTTTTCTACCCTCTTTTAAAACAAATTTACATTTTTTTAAACAATGTTTTACATGCACTATATTTTTCTTTCCCGAATAACTTACAAGTTGTGATTTAATAATAATAATAAAATGTGAGTCAACATTTTATTGTTTAACAATGTTTTGGCCACTGTTTCGAGTTCTTGTTTCTCGATGCTTCCTGGATGCCAGTGACATTTTAAGAGCTAAATATCTTAACGTTGAAGTTCACTCTCACAAAACTCGAAAAAACATCTTTTTATTCCTTGCAAGGGGAATAAGAATTTTCCTAGCTTAACTGATTTTCGCAATAGTTAAAGTGTGTAGAGTATTTTTGGAGGAAGAGAGACAAAAAATATTGTCGTATTTTGCTATATTCATAGGTAAGATGTTAAAAATTTATGTAACATGAAATTTTACAAAAACTATTTTCCCTAGAAATTGATTTTATACCTATTTTGTTTTTGTTTAAGTCACACTGGATGATGAAACGTTTAAACTTTTCAAACACAGTAAAACTTGGTTTTGAAACTTGGGAATATTTAGCACTTCCCGATTTGAATTTTGTTCGAAAGTTTTCATGTCACCTATTTTTAAAGGCTTTCAGTCGTCGCTTTGAATCCACTGACCTTTGGAAGTTTTCAGAGTCAGATACTTTAATTTTCGACGCAGTTAATCTTATGTTGCAAGCTGTATAACAAAAAAAAAGGATTAAAGTCCCCGTACTCCCCCGGATAATTGCAGCCGCAGCAGCCGCACGGTTCCGATTAAATTTAAAATCCCCAACAATTCCGCAGTCGGCGCACTTGCTACAGCCAAAGTTATCGCGTTAATCTGCGGTTTGAGCACATGAAACGCAATTAAACTTCGCTTCATATAGGGTGATGTGCAGAAAAATTTTCCGAGAAATTCAACCGACGCGTGTGGCGGAACAAAATCGAACTGTAATGACGTCAAGGCTGATTGAAGGTAGCGCTTTAGCATTAATCGAAGTCGATTTTTAGATGATACTTGGCAAAAAAGTTAATTAGCAGTAATATTCACTGACCGAGTAAAAGCTAGATCATTAGGGTAAACACGAGGAACGTCGATAACGATGTGAACTTATCGAAATTGATGAGGAGCGGGTTCTGAGTCAGTGAGTTGATCTGAACGCCATATGTCGAGCTCTGTTACGTTTGTTCAAGGTCGATGCTTCAATGGGTGCTTAAAAGGAATTTGTTGTAAGCGAGTACTTAGGGCAGTTCACGTTTCGACGATTTCTACGGCGGTCTAATCAAAGGCCATGAGTTGATGTCACGCAGTTGCTCAGAATTATAATCTCGATATAAAGTACAAATATTCGTTATAGTGACGCTCCTTTATGTTCAAAATTCAAGTAAAATAATAACTTATTCCATACATACATTTAATATTGCATATATATCAATGTTTAATGCATTGTGTTTTCCCAGAGAAAAAATTCAGCCCTTCCTCAATGAGAGCAACCAGAGTTTGTCCTTGACCTAGGTTCGTCCAAACTAGCTTCATTTTCTTGTCTTTCTGACCTCATACAAACTCAGCTTGACTATTGCTCGTGGTCTGGAAGCAGGCTGACAGGGAGGTTCTGGTGGGTCAATTAATTTTTCTGACCACGTAGTTGGAGACACCATTTTCTTTTACAAGATATTCTTCTGAAATGAGTGTGCTCTAGTCTACTATGAATAACCACATTGTTAGTAGGGTGTATTGCACCCAAATTGAAATAAAATGAAATTCACTGAATTTCGTCGATTCACTTAACCATTCATCGATTCATCATCTCAAAGTCCGTGGAAAGCTAGCTGAGCTACATATTCTAGTAACTGTAGCCCACAGTATTTTCACTTTTTAGGACAATAACATAATAAAATGTCGCTAATAAATACACATTCATTTTGAATCTGAAAGTAGCATTGTTTGAAATTTTTGCTCCATGTTAACTTGTTTGTAATAACGATATTACGATAACGGCCTTTGATGGTAAGGGCTGAGAAACCTTTTGATGACGGAATACATAAAGTCCCTTTACGAAAAAACGGAATGTATTCAAAATCGATACAGTTGCGTCGGGAATTTCCATTTTTGGCGGAACAGGTTTATCATGTATAACGTTATTAGGGGTCAAACATGAAAAATAACTGCTTCCAACGTTACGAATACAGGTTTTGAACTTAACCATTAATAAAACGCCTAATAAAACATTAAGCTACGTTCCCATTAGACTGCTCGATACGAGCTCGTGAAGGAGATGACACCCGAAACAAATGCCGACGTTCCGTTTGATGAAACTGAAATAGATCTGCTGCAGTGTAGCTTGGGCTTTAGGCAACCGTTTTCCTTTATTGGCGTTAACCGCCGCTTCGTTATTTTTTTTTTTTTGCTACTTACATAGCAATTAATTGCTTATGGGCTACCTCGACGGCCATATTGACCTTTTTGAAAGTAAATAAGGCAAACAACAAATTGCAGCGACATATCGCAGTTCGAGCGTACGATAACCGTTCGTAAAAATAACATTAATTGGGCAAGCCAAGGTAACAAATATACCTTGAGAATTGCACAGCCAATACGCACAGGTCCGTATCTGTTGGTAACTTTTTAAATAGTTTTGGTTTGTTTTGGTTAGTTATATCCGATGGCTAATGCCTGCCGGTTGCAAAAAACTATTACCTTTTCAATCTAAGATTCTTTTAAGATTTTTTTCAAAACTTTATAGTTTCCGTTTCTATTTAATAAATTCAATCCTTTTAAGTAAAAACAGTCCATCTTCTATCTAACTAAGACGTCCCTAAAAAATATAATAATAAATTGAAATTTAATATATAAGACTGATGACCAAAAAAAAATTTTGCATCTAACTAGGGTCAAACTGTTGAAGAGGGACCTGTTACTTCAATATAATAAGCCACTCGTTTTGCGGCGTTGTTTTGTTTACGACGGCAGACACTTATTTAAAACTAGTTTAAGTTTAATCAAAGTTTGAAAATACTCACCTTTAAGTTTACCTCACACAGTTTCAGCAGCACATTTGTGTTTACATGGCCGTTGGGCTGGGTCTGAAACGAAAGGGAGTTCGGAATTACTCGAAAAGTTTCGATTACATTCGTGAATATTTGCTTGCTATATTGTATTTCCATTTTGTAAAAAAAAATCCATTGTCCGATATACAGCGTACGAACGCATACTGCTTCGTCGAACAATGTAATTGGATTCTAAACAAAAAGGGAAAGCCAACTGATACGCAAATTATAATTTATGGCCTCGGGTTGGATTGCAGACAATAATTCGGGTTTAGTCGCTCCAAACGGAATAAATGTCGAGTCAATTTCTTTGATTGGAGTTCTATTATTAGCTCGATCTGTGGACAAAAACTATAATCAACTGAAGTCGAGGATCTTAGAGATTTTCTGTAATAGGTCGGACAACAACCACAGAGCCACAAAGTTTGGTAAAGTAGAAACCTTGTTTAGATTTTACTTGAATGAGGCTAATGTAAATAAGGTCCTATTTAGAGCCAAGCAGTGCAGACATCTGAGTCCAATAGAAGCATCTACACAACTTTTGTAATAATTATTGATTTTTATTAATAATTCAATATTAAAATATTGAAAATGAAACTAGCAAACTAAGTGGTAATATTTATAATCCTATGAGCTAGAATTTTCATATATTGACGGGTGTCCACTAAATTTCTTGCCTTTCCAGATTTTCTTGACCAACTGCGATTTTATGCAGAAATCACTAAGCAATATTAATTTTTCTCAAAATGCCGACCAATTTTTTCCCGGATATAATTTGAATTCTTTTTTTCCTTCATTCTAACGAAAAATATTCCCCCACTCCCAACTTTTTAAAACACCAGTTTCATTAAACACTGTCGCAGGCATTTCAAATATTTTAATCGCGGGTTGGGATATTTTCGGTAGATTGTAGCCCCCGTAGGTATTTTGACGTTTGTCTGTTCTGATGCTCACGTCACACGTCGCTTTGACAATTTAATCGTGCTGTTTTACGAAAATGTATCGACGAAGTGAAAAGAGGAATAAAAATGTTTCTATTAAAAGTACCTCTTTCTCTTTAATTATATTCTTGCAGGAAAGCCTTCGGCGTAAGGCATCTTTTGAGTTATTTAATTTGCGGAAATCCTGGAAAACAGCATTTGTAGTATAGCCTTAGTTATGTAATTGGTTTTTAATGATCGATTAGTCGCCGATTTTGCAGACGCAAGAAGAAAAGTTGACACTGTTTAATATAAAATATTGTTTTCCTCTTGTTTTGGGAATAGAAATACGTCTTGGATTGAAAAAGAAAGTGATTAATCTCCATTAAATTATTAATGGCGATCGTATCAAGCAGCGCGATTCAATGTTGAAATTGTAATATTTTCTACATCGACGAGATCGGCCCGATAATTCAAATACTGACCAACGATGACAGAGATATATTCGGAGGGAGATTCCACGCGATGTGATACAGCAAAATCATTATATCGATTAAGTTGTTGTTTATGCCAATAGGGTACGCCATATAAATGATTAAATATGCGTCTCGTATACGAAAAATGTCCGCGGAAAGGTTTTGACCCCCCATGTGAGATCGTTATTATTACGTTAGACCGGCGATTATATCTTTAGTCGGGGCAGGGCACTTCCTAGAGCGTGAGCAAGGTGAATTTCGATTATACGGCAAAGTTAAATGAGTCGAGGAAAAACGCTGATTTATATCGGATCTTGTGATACTTTATATCGGGTCGAACGTGAACGCTCCTTACTGCCGAGACTGCACACGGTTTGGAGCAACAAATTCCTAAAGGTTTATGGTTCGTGTAAAATACATTGACTTTAAATTTTCGCTTCTATCTTCTTTCAATATTGCCTATCGCATTAGCTTATGCCTAGCAAAAATTTTAATGAGCCACTATATCATCACCGCGTCACTGTTACATTCGGTAAATAAGGATGGATTCCATTGCTATCGATTTTCGTTAACACTCAAAGGAAATAAAGGGCTCGTGGGAAACCAATTTGCTTTTATGAAAATTATTTTCGCACAAATTAAATAAGTACTTCTATGAAATATTCTTCGATTTGTTATTTTCAACGGCTTAGAATGGAGCATGTCACTTCTTTACTTAACTTACACCTCTTGGGCACGTTCAAAAAGGACTTGTTAAGGTTTTTGCTTTTAAAGTGCACAGAGAAGATTAACTATATGAACATTGCAGACATTTACAAATTCTCCATTCTTGACACTTAACGCTGAGCCATACTGCTCCACAAATGTTCACGTTATTTGAACCCGTATCACTTTTTTTTAGGTTATGATAAATAGCTGTTATAAACAAATGATTTAAAAGTAAAAAAAAAATCATTCCCATTCGGATATTTTAGAACTCCAGAATGATCTCGATAGGTTTACTATGTGCTGTAAAAATCACCTATTAATAATGATTTAAAATTTTACAATATAAAACTTAAGAGAGTTATTCAAGTTAAAGATATAGGCATCGTGCTGGTCTGAGTTAATATTTGAAGCACATGTAGAAAATATTGTAAAGGGCTTGAGAAATCTTGGTTTTGTATTACGTAATACCAAAGGCTTTCACAACCACAAATCAGTCATTATAATTTATGATCAAAACCATCTTGGAATTCTCATTCACCGTATGGAATCCGATCTAACGCAAGTATATCGAACGGATAGAGAGTGTCCAAAAAAAGCTTTTTAGAAGCCTTAATTTTAGATATAGAGACAGATGCTAGTTTTCGGGCGAAAATAACCTTCAGTTTTATAAATTAAGGTAGCTAGAAACACGCAGAAATTTCTTAGACGTAATTTTTCTTTATAAAATTGTCAACAATCTTATAAAGTAACCTTATGCACAAGTCACTTAGCTTTTAATGCTAATTCTTATCGAGTACGCACTAGCCTCACTTTTTCTACAGAAACAATCAGATTCTAACTATTAGATGTACTCGTGCGTACAATAACTGTGTTTTTCTGAACAACGAAGATACGGACTTATTCTACTTAAACCTACATCTGTATACAAAATTTTATAACATTGTAGTTAAGTATTTTTTTGTATTCCCGACCATGTTTACCTAATCTTATATTTTATATGGCCTATCCTGTAATTGGGCAGCCTCGTCTGCCTGTTGGTTAGCTTTTGGGTTTGTAAAATGAAATACATTAAAGCGTTTCACATCGCATAATTTTTCTAATGACTTGGTTACCCATTCTGATTTCACGTGTTTTTTGCTTTTAATAGTTTACCATTCTATTTATTGACAAACCTGGCGGTTACACGGTATTTATTAATATTTACCAGTGAGACTTATTGCAAGAAGCGTCCATTGAAATTGCTAATGTAACTTTTCTTATCATGAAAGTTTCTTAGTAATTTTGCATTGGGATTCAATTTCCGTGTTATAATTTTGCCATAAAATTATGGCAGAATGTGGTCACCGTTCAGGCAGATCCAGACCTGACGCTATTAAGTATCAAGTTGCTAGTCTTTTCTGTCTGCGCTATATAAGAGAACATTTTTCTTGTTTTAACCACTAGAGTGAGGAAAACATAGTCTATATATGCTTTTAAATTTCTAGTACACATACTTGAGCCCTTTCTTGAACATTTTGGTATGCGTTTTAGTTATTTGTCGCGGCAGAGGCGATTTTTGCAAGAAAAAATTCCAAATATTTAACGAAATTCTCAGAATATCTAGAAAGCGAAGTTAGCAAAATTGTAAACGCACGAACGCAAAAAATAAAGACGTCAAGTTCATTTCTTCCATAAGGCTAATTCTTCTTTTCCGTTCTTTTTCCATTAGAGCCTCAGCCTCGCTACAATTTTAAACAATAACCACTCACCACGCGTCACGAAAATTCTAATAATACCTGGAAACACAATAAGGCAATTAGATAAGAACAAAGAATGTGACAAGAATCTCCCGACTTTCGCGGGAACAATATCGTCTCGTCGCGCAAAACAAATCACGACAGGAAGTGACGTGATTCTAGAAACTTCGGCGTCAAACAAAGGCAGATCGACTCGGAAACGAAATGAATTAAAATTTTGGGCCCTCCCGTACAATGGAGGTCAAATTCGCATACGAAATGATGTGCAATTCGCTGGTATTGGTTGAAAGTTCCAACATTAATATTATTAAATTTTTAGCAAATCAAAAGTGAAGCTTTTTCAGACTTTCCCAAAAACTTCAAAGATCTGATACTCACATCTTTAAGAGAAAATAATGAGCAATCTCTCTCTCTCTCTTTCTTTCTTTCTATTTTATATAAATTTCAAAATTAACGGTACTGATGGTTTTCCAATAACGAAGATCTCTAATCCCACATATTCCGATAATATCAAATTATAATGGTTTGAATGGCATGCAGAATTGTAAAAAAAACGTAAAATATTATCAAACCAGGATAATATAATCTTTCTTTTTTTATTTCTACATACCCAACATGTTCGTATGATTTCTAAAGAATTTTCTTTATTGTTTATATTAAGAAGGACTTTATTTATTAACCATTGATAAGTTTTACAAAACATCAAATTAGCAGATATCACCAGCGGTTTGACGAAAAACAATTACGTCAATTAAGAATTGGGTGTTGTTTGCTTAAAAAGCACCAAGTATTCATCAGCTCTATACAATGGATTCTCTACCAGAAGTTACTTCATTATCCTTTTAAACTTACCGTGTTGTAGGAATTGGGAAACTTAATTAATAATAAATCTTGCCGAGAAAGACGCCTTCGTTATTTTAAACGTTTTTATACTCAACTTTTAATATAAATTAAAGTTTGAAAAATTCGTATTCAAAATGCATTACCATTTTTTTTTTCAGAATTAACTATTTAACAGATGTTAGACTATCTAAAAATGCTACCTAGTTATCCTACTCGTTTTTATTTAAAAATGTGTGATGCTTTCTGGTAGTAGTAATAATAATTTTAAAATATAAGTCCTGAATACAATTCAAATAAACGTGCGGTCCCATCGCAGGATCCCCATATTTGTGACCTCAATATCGCAGGCGTTT